AAGATAATGTAGCATGTCATCCTTGCATTTTCCATTAAAGTTATTTTCTAAGAATGGGGCATATAACTTAAATTTCAAGATTGTAGTTAACTACAAATATATAAAACAATATTGTAAATCATAATTATTTGATGGATTTAGTGTATTTCAGGCATTCAAAGATCTTAATTAAATTGTTTTTAATTTTGAAAATCTTTAGCTTATGTCTAGCTTAACATAACATTTCAATATTATTGTTTTTTATTGTTTTTTGCACTTTTGATACCATCCTACTGTTAGTCACTGTATTTCTCAGTTGGTTGTTTAATATGATTTTTTTTAAAGCTTGGCTCCCTTTGGGAGTTACCTTGGAATACCAAGGACTTTGGACCCAGTGATCAGAAATGAAAATCATTCTTTGTCTATGCTTCATGTTGACTATTGATACATTAGGATAAAAAAGTTTCATTGTCTAAGGAGTAAGGTGATAAAGCTTCAGGGGCCCTGAGTGGCTGAGTGGTCTAAAGCTCTGACCGATATGGATCACTGCCATCTCATCTCTCATGGATCACTGCCATCTCATCTCTCTCATCTGCATTAGTTTGAGTCCAGGCTCAGCTAAGTGAATAAGTGAGAAAGCCTGCCAGTAGCTTCTCCTGGGTCAATGGGTTTTCCTGATTTTTCCTCCACCATTAATACTGGCTGCCATGTATAGCATAGTCTGTGCAGAAAAATGGCATTAAACCCTCTAACAACAACAACAACAACTGACCAAATCTTCACTTTGATATATATGCGCTGAATAAATATGGTAGCCTTTTTATGTATAAATAACTTTGCATAAGTACCAGCTTTGCAATTCTCAAAGTAATATTGAAGTTTATCTGCTATCAACAACTACTTGCCAGCAAAAATCATTTTGGTGTATATAATGCTTTTTTGAAAGCCATGAATATCTTTATTTTGATCTATTTGGGATTGCTTTTGTTAAGTAAATTTTTCAATGTTTTGGTTCACAACCCAAGCATCATATGATTTTCATTTAAATTGTTTTTATAAACAGCAGTTGTTTGGGGTCTAATAGCAAACACAGTACATATTTGTTATTATAATATAACTCATTGTATAAATCATTGCAAACTAACCACAGATTGGTCCTTTTGCTATTTTTGTTATTGTTGCTCCTTATTTTCTTCTTTTTCTTCTTCTTGCAGTTGATAATAGTTGTTTATTTATTAAACTACTGATTAATCTTACTTTCTATATGTTCCTAACCCTGAACAAGAAATTATTTGGACCAAGTTTGCATAGATATTCAAGAGGATTTCATTACAGTTGAAAAGTCAGGCAAAGGATGATCTCTACTTTTATTGGAAAGTTATTTTGTTCTTCATTCATTGAATAAAATGTCAGGTTTAGATTGTCAACATTGCTTGACATGTATCAATGAGGTTTGACCTAAAGTGTATTTCCTGTCATGCTGAGTATTGCTTAGCATGTGAGTTGTTTCCATATTAATCCATCTTTTATTGTAATCGGTATTAACCAATTCACTCAAAGATTCTGATCTTATTTCCTTGAAATTTAAGACAAGGACAAAGTAAATAAATATTGTAAATATTGAGTGCTTTTAAAATCTTACAAGTGATACAACACTCTAAACAAACTTGTTACATTTGTCTGTGACCAGCACATAGCCAGGTAACATTTTCATTGGACTTGAAGAGGAAGGAACTCACTAATATTTTCCCATCAAATAAAAGGTCAAGTTGTAAATTTATTTGACACATATCATTGTCTTGTCAGATTGTTTAATGTGTTGAAATTGAGACATCAAGAATGGGCATAATTTTATTGACTATAACAACTGCTGAAATTGAAAGATCTTATTGCAGTCCTGAAGAGGACTGACATTGATAGGTGTATTTACAAAGAAGTCTTGGACGAATGTTTTACTAAGTTTTTAGCTTACATCTGTGACATAGAGGAGAGCTATTGTACTACACTTACTATCAGCATCTGAACACTTAAAACATACTTGTGTACATCATCACTGACTCAAAACCAGTCTTCTTAGGTTATAGGTAGCAACATGAGGTGGGCTTCTTAGCATCTGCTCTCTCCCCTCTTTAGGGAGGGAACAGTGAGTTTAATATTGTGTGTGTAAGTGTGTGTGTGTATATATATATATATATATATATATATATATATATATATATATATATATATATATATATATATATATTCACACACACACAAATTATTTTTTTTCTGGATTTTTGCACAGTAAATAATATTATACCTGGAATCATGAAATCTGGTGAGTTTATAACTCTTGATTGTATTTCATACAATTTTTAGAACTTGAAAAATTCATGAATGTAGGAGATTGCCTCAAGAACTGCTTGAGCTTTGAAAAGTTGGTTGGAATACAGGACAGGAGGCATGTGAAAGTTTGTAGGGTTGTGATGAGTGTCCCACACCTGTATGTGAAGCCGAAAGGGGCTAATACGAGATATATAGGGACAATGATAAGCAAAACTCCACATGTCCGATCATAAGGATGCTATGATAACAAACATCAGCTGATACTCCATACATGCACCGTAGGAAGCAGGTATGAAGTATATGGGCATAATAGTCAAGTACATTTAAGTACTGACACAAATTGGGGTTCAAAAGCAAAGTTTTTGAATGAATGAAAACTTGGAAATGGCTTGCTCTGAATTGTTCTAAAGGATACCTCATGATAGGAGACGTGTGGGAGTTTGTAGGGTTGTGAAGAGTGTCCGACACCAGACGAAAGGGGCTGATATGAGGTATATAGGGACAATGATAACAGAAACTTGACAAGTCCTATCCTGAGGATGCCATGAAAACAAACATCAGCCGATACTCCATACATTCACCATAGAAAGCAGGTATGAAGTATAGTGGTATAATAGTACAAGTACATTTAAGAACTGACCCAAATTCGGGATCAAAGTAAAGTTTTTTAAATGCATGAAAACTTGGCAATGCTGCAGTTTTTAAAGTGCTGAAAACCTTGTTCAACAGTCAAGTCATGAATGCTCGAAGTTGGGCAATGCACCCAAGAACAGAACTGGAACAGTATGCTATGCAAGAAATGCCCTAAATAAATGAGATGGTGTGGACCTCAGGACAGGAGACATGTAGGAGTTTGTAGGGTTGTGAATAGTGTCCATACCTGTATGTGGAGACACAAGGGGCTGATATGAGGTATATAGGGACAATGATAACTTGACAAGTCCTATCCTGAGGATGCTAATACATGACATGGTGGTTCTTTCTGCTGATAAATGTTTTAAGTTAGATGTTTTAATGGACAGTTCACTGAAAAGCACACATCTCTACAGGCATCCACCAGCTATGTGAATGACACAAACTGACAATGCTTGATCACATGCTCCAAACTCAGCAATCTGATTGGTTCAACATGACAACATATCTAAATTTAGTTACTAGCTTATTAATATATACTAATAACTTCACTCTGGTAAACCATTGTAGAAAAAGAGGGGTCCAAAAAGGGGCTAGAGAAGGATGCACTGTGTATTATTCAAACTACATTTAATCAATTAAATTACAATTCAGTGATAAAGTAACATTGGAAAAAATCTATTATTGTCCGAATAAAAATATACCTTATATTCAGTGATAAAGTAACATTGGAAAATCTATTTTTATTAAAAAAAAAATGCTTCTTGGCTGTCATTGGAAACTTTTGTTAGTCATTGATAAACAACTTTTGGCTACTATATGAAGAACACTATATCTTATATGGGATATTGTTATAGTTGGGGTGTGGTGCTCCCAATGTTTCATTTAAACTATTATAGAAGCTCCACCCAAACTCTATTTTGTTGGAAGTTAAATTTAGTAAAAGATAGATGTAAAGCTCCAAGCCACCAGTCTGCAGTGCTGAAGGTTATATGGTTAAATGCACAAAAAGGTAGAAATTCAAAGAATAACAATTTAATAACAATTCAATAATTAAATGATTCAAATTCCTAATTACACTCCTTCTGCTTAACCCTTTAATAAGCCTATTGCATAACTTGATTAGCAGTGTGAGATTGATTTCTGTCTGTCTTTATATTTTTATGCATAGGTGTATCCTTTCTATCTCTTATTTCTCTCACTTCCTTCTCTGTTCCTACTTGATTTTCTCTAGACTTCTTTTTCACTTTCTCTAGACTCCTCACCCTCCTCCAATTTCTCTACAATGACTAATTATGTGGACTTAGACTGGCTTAGCTACAGCCTTAATTTTGTCTCCAACTCTTTTAAGTCTCTTGATTCAATGGAAAAATGCTTTCTGTGACAATACAAGGACTGTACAATCTTTTCCTGAGCCCTCTTATCTCACACTTGTAACTCACAGCTTTTCATTAGATAACAGCTATTAAATTTCTTGGATTGTACATTCATTCACATCTAGAAACCCATGTTCTAGTAGGGTAAAACAAACATCATAGTACAGCAAGGTATCAGTTCTTATACATATACCAATAAATTCTATCACATCAGTAGGTATTCCAAATCCCATTATACTACTATACTACTCACAATAATTAGGCTCAAGCCATTCTCAAATATGTATGTAAATAAATCACTACAATGGGAATTCTACATACTAAAGGGGATCCAAGTAATTAAGTATACATACCACAAATATTACACTTTTGAATCCCTTTTTTATTCTTGAATATTGCTTTAATATTCTGTAAAATCAAGCAAATAACTTACTGACCTTTTGGAGCTTTTTATTTCCTTAGAATATACTTCTACATTTTTCTGACAAATTATGAGTGGCTATCTTCTCAGAGTAAACCCTATTGACTCACAATCCTTTCAGGTGAATGCTAAATTTTCTCTTGCACATCTAAAGTATCATTTGGGTCAGAATTGTAATCATACCCTCTATCTCAATTCTGATTGGATATCGCTGTGAACTGATCCAATGAACTTAGAGTTTGCCACTTTTTCCCACACAGGGAACTACAGTAACTCAGTTCATAGAGCTTTGGACTTGTAATCCAAGAGGCATGGGTTTGATACCCACCCAGGCCAGCATGGGTCAGATACTTCAGGCACACTTGTCTTTGGGAAAGGAACTTGGTTCCCATTTCCTGGCATGATATTGCCAGTAATGTGCAAAAGATTCTATTTAAATCAACCAAACGTTTGTTGCCAACAAATTATGTCCACAGAGTAATGATTTTGCAAGTTTAATTTAAATAAGTCTTCTGATCCATAACATTTGCTTTTGAAGTCGCTTCATTTATAGTGGCATATATAACATAAAGGTACTTGAAAATGTATTCTCTTCTCAGAATTATTATTTGAAGAGTAATATTTTCTTGTTACACTAGATAAAACCATTAATAATTTCATGACATTTTGAAAAAATGTTTTCATAGTAGAACATAGCTCTTATTCAGACCAGTTTCCTGTATCATGTCCTGGATTGTTAGTAAATTCCAGTACATGTTATTTTATTCAGTGTTCAGTGCATAATACTTTAAATTCAGAGGAGAATGGGTTTAGAATACCATATATATTTTCTTCAAAGTTGGGTATAAATGCTTACAACATATTCTCATCTGTCATCGTGGGAAGATTTGGTGTTTTTTGTTCCATAGGTTACTTGTAGCATACTCCATAGATAGTTCGGCTGGCACATTATGTGATGGTAGGTATGGATCCATGCAGTTTGCTGTTGGATCCAACTTATAGGCAAGTGTATATGGTATTGACTTAAGCTTATGGTTGGGGAGTGGGTGAAACTTTGTTAAGATCTTAAAGATCTTTGAAAATTTGCTTTCTGCTCTTTTGTATAAACATTATCTTTGTTTTCCTTAATGAAACTCCTATATTGAGAGCATTTCTGTCATTTGCTGCTGCCATCTGTCTGTCAAACAAAAAGTAGCAGAGGTGTACATATATTATTATTATTATTATTATTATTATTATTATTATTATTATTATTATTATTATTATTATTATTATTATTATTATTATTATTATTATTCTTGAACAATGTTAGTTAGATGCTTGTCCTGCATGGCAAGTGACTTGTAACTTTTACTTGTCCTGCATTGATTATACTCATCCATCCTTGTACATAATACAGAATCTGCTTAAAATGCTACTTGTCCAGTTCTTGCTTGATTATACAAGCAGCATGATAAATTGGCGTGCCCTTCCTCATCTGTGATTCATAAATATAAGTTACAGAATGTAATTGTCTAGCACTGTGTATTATCATTGACATGTTGAAATAGCTTTCTAAAGGTAAGTTCATCTGTAGGAATGGAATTGATTGATGTCTTAAAATGTTTCTTTCACAACAAGTTGGACAGTACTAATGTATTTATTGCAAAGGTTGTGTTTGATGCTGTTATTGAGAAATATGTATTGTCATTGCAAGTGTATTCTTCTGTTAAAAGTAGCTTTCCTTTCATCATTTGATGGGATTCAGCTGAATATCCAGTCATGTTTTTGGCTTGTTAATATTGATAGAATATTCCTTAATAGTATACAGAAAATAATGACCAGAAATCACCAGTTTGGGACAAGCTTTTAAAATAAATTGCAGTTCAAGTATTATTTGTACACTTTCATAAGGGATATTGTGATACTCTCTCTGTCTGCCTTTCATTTACTTTGTCCCCTAAACCATTGGGTGAAAATTGATTTAGCATTGTACATTTCTTTGATGGATTTTGTCTTTTGATAATCTGTCACTGGCTTATACTCTAGATGTCCTACTTGTCAAATACTAGCTCTGCTGCTGTCATGTCAGTGACACCAGTAAATTTCTCTCAAGTTATTAGTTCACAAAATGATGAGTGATGAATGTAATATTTACAATAGTCACTTGAAGGTTAAATGGGAAGGCCTTCTTTGATCTGTATGATTTATATTTTATTTATTTCAATATTGGTTTTGAGTGATTCTTTTGGATTATACAGTAGTTGAGGATAAAAGGTAGGATGGCATTTAGATGTTAGTTTATGGCTGACTGTAAATTGTACAATGTATACTTTTGATAGATTTTGGGTGTTTTGCTTAGTATATGTACATATATGTAAAATTAGACCACAAAACAATGGCAAAGCCATATTTTCTGTGCAGTGTTCAGTACCAGATGGGAAAAGTGGGATCTAGTGGCCCCATCTGAATAAAAATATGGTATCATTTTGACCCCCTCCTTACATTGCTTGTTATTGAAGAAATTGAAACATAATTATTCAAAGCAATCATGTTTATACATTTTTTAATTTCTTCAAAACATAGCTTTACAGCATTATATAATTTTACTTGAACATTGTAGCGTTAATGTATATGTAATTTAATTGTTTGTTTTGAATTTTACTTGAACATTGTAGAGATATGTATATGTAATTTAATTAATTGTTTGTTTTGAATTTTTATATTTTTATTTTATTCCATTATATATTACTGTAATGATCATTTTCTCTACTGGATTTGGTTTTTAAAACCTGATAAACAGCCAGTAGTTTGAAACATTGTATCTTTTACAGACTTAGATTCAGAACCATTATCAGCTTTGGAGTAAACTTTTTTAAATATTCATGTCTAGAGTAAATTCATTAATTTTAGCTAAGGTTATACTAGAGTGAATGACAATTGGCATGTAAAAAAATTCCCAGACATTTGAGAAGGTGATCACGTAACACCATCCAAAATCTGTTTTATGTCTTAATTTACTGTATAGTCATTATCTTAAGAAGAAATAGCCAGTTGTGCTTTAAACCTTTCAAGCTGAAAGGTTTTTTTTATTGTGACCAGTTTAAGTTAAATTTGTCTTTTTTGGAAATTATTAATTTATTTTCCTAGGTAAAATTATAGTGTTTATCAGAATTCTTGGACAAAGTCATTTTATCAAAATTTATTCAGAAATTCTAAACTGGAATATTATTTCTTTGTGATTCAACAAGGAACTGTTGACACATCAGTCAAAGCAGACCATTGAAGATGTCATCGACTTCCATCTTGGAATTTCATTGGGATTCGAACTGTGATTCTCTTAGAACTTTTTATTGATAGGACTTATATTTGGAATTATATTTGGATTTGATTCAAAAGCTGTAAGTCCTTTATCTCATTTTTAAATTTTACAAAGCTTGTTGGCTTCAGTCTTTTCTTGTTACTTTTGTACAAGCCTAGACAGGTTACAGTTGAGGGACATTACAGCATGGTTATGTAAAATTTTCTTGACAGCAAAGAAAACCCCCATGTCTATCACTCAGGGTATTATTCTAATGGACAAGGGAATTTCAGCAAACCATGCACTAGTCTGACCAACTACAGATTCAAAGTATTAATGCCTAAGAGTCCAAGATCAGCACCAGTAAGCATTGTCATTCTTCCCTGTCACAAGTTCTAGAATCATTTGGACAATCATCTACATTTTTTCCTCATGTATTTAGCTTTGGAAATAAATATACATGTAGCTGTGTTTTTGCTAACAATTTCATTTTCTCTTTACATTGGCTATAAATTACATTAACTAAGCCATAATCTGCAAGATGTTTCTGTCAGCCTGTGAAATTGATCATTTTATGCTTCTTTAGCATTGAGCACTCTATCAGCTTTGGATACACTTAATTCAGTCAAATATGAACAAAAAAAAAAATTGTTTTCTTTAGTCTTATGTGCCAAAGGTGGAAAACAGGGTCCTTGGTGCAAGAGTACAGACTAAATTGAACCCAGTTAATAAATCATTTTTTTTAAATTAGTATTTTACTAGGGGCTTATATTTAACATCTATATTTTATTAATAAATTTTTCAATAGTAAGGGTGTTTTTTTTCATACAAAGAGATCCATAGTGCAAATTTAAAAGTTTAATTTTTTAAAAACTTTTGAAGGGGATTATCAAATTTACATGCATGTGTTAGTAATTTGGATCTATGCAGTGTCATTAGTTATCATGTGATCGATTTCATATAGTGACTCAGGATAGATGATTTTTTTGTGCCTGATGGAAGATTTATCCACTTTACTGGTAACCTCACCATGTTTCATAAATTGACAGTACATAATTTTATTAAAGGTCACCAGCCACACTCTAACATTTTTCTATTTACATCAGATTTGCATTATATGATTAAAAGTGGTTGTAGACGCACAAAAAGAACAACAGAAAAGTATCAAGTGTAAAAAAGAAATAATTTCATTACTTGAAAAAGATGTATACAGCGCAGTTACTACCCCTTAGCTACGATATCCCACCTATAGAGGACGCAACATGGAAATGACGTACAAGATGAAGTGCTTTTTGTTGAAAATTAAATCATTGTTAACCATGGATAAGGAACATTTAGATGAAACTACTGAAAACTAATTTACTGTCCAGCCTTATATCAATATTCATGCCCAACACACTAGATTGTGTTGCTTTCAAAACTATTCTATTATTTTAAGTTATTTTGAAAATGCCCATTAAAACAGGTAAAAAGGAATCAATGCTGACTTCTATTTGTCAGCTGACTTAATAAAAAATGAAAAAGAACATTAACACAATTAAAAGAATCCAAGGAACCAAACTTTACTTCCTAATGTCGGGGAAACTTTATGAGAAAAATCGGCACACTTTAAAGATACCATGGTCAGATTTTGGGGTTTGCTTTGTAATAAAATTTAATTAAAGAGTTTATTGCTCACTCCAAGTTGTGCTTATTCATTTGTTCCTAGATGTGATCATAATTAATGTTTTTAGGGCAAATATTATACACAATAATAACATGTTAAAATGACACTTTTGTAACCCATGCTAGCGAAAAGAATATAATAATGATTTTTATTTTCGAGAAACTGTCATATACTTAACCTGATTACAATACAATCTTGGTCAGTTTGCATCTTGTAACGTCGTGTGTTAATGGCAGGTTCTTTCAAGCAATTGGTGATATTTTTGTCTTTTTTGTGATTTTGTTATTTGACATTTGCGATACACTACAGTAAGGATGCATATGCAAACCAGCATCCACTATGTACATGGAGTGGATATATTTATTTCTGTAGAAGAAATTTGATTGATGAAAA